CAAGGGCGCCACATTTATTTATTTATTTGATTTATACCTCGCCCTCTCCTCCGAAGCAGGCTCAGGGCAGCTATGTGCGGGTACAACTCCCCCCCCCCAAAAAAAAATTTTTTGTGTGTCTTTTGGTTCATTTTCTGGTATGCTGAACGCTGCATCTCTATAAACAATTTTATTTCTTTCAAGCAAGCTCTTGAGTCTGTGCATTCCTTATTAGTTCAGTGTGGTCCACTAAAGCAAACAGGACTCCAATTAAAAAGGTAGAAGACGAAGAAGAGGAAGAGGAGGAGGAGGAGGAGATTGGATTTATACCCCGCCCTTCACTACCTGAAGAAGTCTCAGAGTGAGTTACAATATCCTTTCCCTTCCTTTCCCCACAACAGACACCCTGCGAGGTAGGTGGGGCTGAGAGAGCTCTTTTGAGAACTGCTCATGAGAGAACAGCTCTGAAAGAACTTGTAACTGACCCAAGGTTACCCCAGCAACTGCATGTGGAGGAGTGAGGACTCAAACCCAGTTCTCCCAAATTAGAGACAACGCTCCTAACCACTACACCAAACTGGCGAAGGTGGAAGGGGTTGTTGCCCTCCCCTGATCAAAATAAAAGCTCTTCCTGACATGGCAATGAGTCCTTCCCATCAAATTCCCTTTCCTTTTGGGGTATTAGGCTACTATTAAAGCCGTGACAGCTAGCGAAATTGAACCTCCATGTTCAGCAGGAGTCTACCTCAGCACACCACCTTCTTTGGGCAAAGAGTTATTAAGGGGGTATGTGGCCTTCACACCCTACCTGTGGACTTCTCAGAAGCATCTGTTTGCCCCCTGTTGGAAAACCAGAAGGTGGTCTAGTTAACTGACCCAGCAAGATGGTCTGGTTGACCACTTCTTGCACAGGGAAGTGGAGGAACAGGGAAAGGTCTGGAGGAGGACTGAGCACCGATCCCCCCCCTCTTTTTTCTTTCTTATTCTTTTTAAAGACAATCAAGATAAATGAAGACATTATATTTATACCCTGTCTTTCTCACTGTAAATGAAATTTTTAAACGTTATCCTGGCTAATGTTCTCCGATAGACCTTCTTATACTAAACATATACCGTATGATAAATAATATTTAAATATACGAATTGGTTGAATACTTTTTTTTTAAGGCACCTGGACAAGCAGCCGTCCGTCACTGTGTCTTGCAGCATGCTCCTGTGAAACCGGGAGTTTTGCTGCCCGCTGCAAACACAAAGATTTTCTCAAGGCCCAACAATAGGGCAGGCCCTGATTGGTCTTCTAGCATCCCTGTGGTGAATACTCCCCTCCGGGCCTCTTCATTGGCGTTTCTCCTCCTGCTTGTTCTGCCTCTCTCAGTGCATTTGCTGACCTGCTCTGATGTCACGGTAGGCCTTCCTTGGCGGGAGAGGTCATAGCCTCCTCCACTGCCACTGGCTTAGCCATTCTTATGTCAGTTAAAGGGCTAGCGGGCTTTACCTGGGTTGATGAGTCTGTGGATGGGGTTGCTTTAGATCAAGGGTCTCCAAGCTTTTTGAGGCTGGGGGAACCCTTGGGATTCTGACACATGAGGTAGGCGCAGCCACAAAACGGCTGCCGCAGGAGGTGGAGACAGCCAGAAAATGGCAGCTGTGGTTCACTTTCAGTCACGTGGAGGAGGAGGAGATGACGAAGAAGAGGAAGAAGATGATGATGAGGAGGAGACTGGATTTATACCCTGCCCTTCACTTGGGAGTCTCAGAGTGGTTTACCTTTCCTTTCCGTTCCCCTCCCCACAACAGACACCCCTGTGAGGTAGGCGGGGCTGAGAGAGCTCTTTCAAGGACCGCTCTTGACAGAACAGCTCTGAGAGAACTGTGACTGACCCAAGGTCACACCAGCAGCTGCATGTGGAGGAGTGGGGAATCAAACCCGGTTCTCCTAGATTAGATTCTGCCGCTCTTTACCCACTACACCAAACTGGCTCATTGTACTGTGCTGGCAGCTACTGCCAAAGTAACGTTTTAAAATTTCGGCACAGCCTATCGAGTCTCCAATGGCCAATCAGAAGCTTTGCTGGGCAAAAGCCCCACCTGGCCCCACCCACTTTCTAAAAACACTTGAGGGGTCCAGGAAAGGTGTCCGCGGGTGCCACGGGGAATATGAGCACCATGTTGCGAGGAGTTGCGAGGTCCCGAAGAATCCTCCATGGAACCCATCCCCCGACCTACAACAGAACACACCGGCTTTTGAATGGTATCTTGCAGGTACTGACAGCTTCACTGGTCTCCAGGAATTATGCTGGGAAGGTATACGAAACAGCGAAACAGGCCTTGGTCCCCAGCGAAGACCGACCCCCCCCCCTTTTCCTTTCCCTCTTATTCTTTTTAAAGAAAATCAAGATAAATGAAGACTCTTAAATCAGGGGCTTCTTAATGGGTGGTCCGGGAAGCTAATTTAAAGCGTTTGATTATTTTTCCTTGCTGGTAGCGCAGTAGGCCAGAGGCCCCGGCAGGAGGCCCGAGTTCAAATCATTTACAAGCCAAAACATGGTCTGGGAACGGAATCATCTTTAACGCTCCCTGCCCTCCCGCCCCCCTTGCAAGGGAAAATGATGGGTCACCAAGGGGTTTCTTCTCTCTCTTTCTCTCTCTGCCGAACATTGGCTTATTTTTATTATCTTCTCGGAATGTGGCCCCAGCTGGGTTCTCAAACGTCCCACATTCCCGAGTCACCAATGGAGGTTAAATAGAGTCATTCCTACTAATTAAACCGGTCCCTGCGATTGCTTTGCTTTGGACTGACAGGGTAATCGGAACAGTTAATCGGCAATCTTTCGCCTCAGACGGCAACAAAAGGGAGACGCTAAGAGAACCAGCGTCAACTCCGTAGAACCCGTAAGGCCACTGAAGAGCCACTGTTCTGAGGACAAAGGGGTGATCCTGGTCACAGTCTCTTCTCAGCCTGACATACCTTACAGGGCTGACAGGGCTATTTTCGGGCAGGAACGCACAGGAACGGAGTTCCGGCTGGCTCCCAAGTTGGCCACGCCCAGCAGGAACTCATTAGCATAATAAGCCACACCCAACAGCAGATACTCATTAGGATTGGCTACATTAGGGGTGTGTGGCCTAACATGCAAAGGAGTTCCTGCTACAAAAAAGCTCAGGGTTTTGACAACCAACAAGGTAAACAGAATAAGAAGCAAAAGGTGGGTGTGGCTGGATAACCACACTTCTGGTAACATGGGGGTGTGGCCTAATGTGGTAATGAGCTGTGTTGTCAGGGGTGTGGACTAATATGCTAATGAGTTCCTGCTGTTGGGTGTGGCCTATTATGCTAATGAGTTCCTGTTGGGCTTTTTCTACAAAAAGAGCCCTGCTGAGGAACATATAAAACTGAGGGAAGGAAGGGACCCACCTTTCTTAAAAAAAACCCTATGTACACCACCATGAGGTCCTTCAAGGAGGGGTGAGATAAGTATGTGATCTTTTTTTTTACAGCCGGCAGCCCTCACAGTGGCTTAAGTTTCATGTTGTGTTTTCCTTTTTCCTCTTGCTACATAAATGGGTGGTTTCACACATACTAGTGTGTAGCGGTTAAGCGAGCGGACTTTAATCTGGGAGAACCGGGTTTGATTCCCCACTCCTCCACATGCAGCTGCTGGACGACCTTGGGCAAGCCATTGTTCTGTGAGAGCTGTTCTCTCAAGGGCAGTTCTCAAAGAGCTCTCTCAGCCCCACCCACATCACAGGGTGTCTGTTGTGGGGAGGGGGAGGGAAAGGAGTTTGTAAGCCGCTCTGAGACTCTGAGCGAAGGGCAGGGTATAAATCCAATCTCCTCCTCCTCCTCCTCTTCTTCTTCATAATGCTGTTTCAGTCCACTTAAGCGACCATTTGCAAGTGGATCTTGCCATTTCACACAGTAAAATCCAGTTGCAAAGTGCATTGAGAGTGCGTTATTTAGTGGGTGTGAAAGTGCCCAGTAATGTTTCCTTGGAGGACTCCAAGTTAGAGTTGCCAACTTGGGGTTTGGGAATTCCTGGAGATCTGGGGGCGGAGTAGGGTTGCCAGCTTGATGAGGGTGGGGTTTGGGGAGGAGATGGACTTCAGGGTGGTATAGTGCCACAGAGTTCACCTTCCAAAGGGGCCATTTTTTCCGAGGCGAACTGAACCCTGTCACCTGGAGATCACTTGTAATCCCAGGAGACCTCCAGCGACCGCCTGGAGTTTGGCAACTTTAGGGTGGAGCCTGAGCAGGGTAGGGTTTGGGAAGGAGAGGGACCTCAGTGGGATATTAATGCCACAGAGTCCACGCTCCAAAGCCGCCATTTTATCCAGGGGAACTGGACTATGCAGTTAGAACTGTGGGAGATATCCAGGTCCCACCAGGAGGCTGGCCACTCGAGTCCAAGTGGTGGCCTGTAAGGTGGTCATCAAGACCTACTTCAGATGCAATCAGAGGTCGAGCTTTAGTCAGCGGAAGACAATCTTAACCACCGCACAAATTATCCCGTTTTGCTGGAGGAACTTTTGTGCTTTCGTTACCTGAGTTTTCGAGAAGGAATCGGGCGAAATGATACCGTCTTTACCCAAAAGGAAGACAACCCTGAATGTAAGATGATTTCCCTTAAAAATGCTCGTACACAAAAACTTTTTTTAAAAAAAATTACTGTACACAACTTTAATTTGTAGGCAAATTTAAAACAGCTCCCTCTTTTCCTTGACAGCACATGAGGAAAAAGCCCAGCCTTTCTTTCAAGAAAATAGGGTAATAGTGAAATAAATACCAAATTGTATCCCCACACCAAGATTTTAATGTTCTCTGACACTGGCAGTGCCAACAGGGCCTCAGTACCCAACGTCCGTCATGTCCAAAATGACATTGTGCCCGATGTTTTTACGAAAAGATGTGTTTGCTTCCTGGAAGACCCTTTGAACCTTTACCTGGTGTGTCTTGAATCTGCACAGAACCACTAGACGCTGAAAGTCACTCTCCCCAAAGGAAAGTAATTATTACTACTCACATATATAATAGTATTCGTGTCCTGGCCTGAATTCGAACCCCAGTGAGAAAGGGGTGAAGAGCTGGAACTTTTCGGAGAATTTCAGCGGCCCATTGGCTGAATCGGGCCTGTTACATTCCCAGCGTTTGAAGCCATTTTGCCGGTGGTCGCAGGTGGCATGGCCTTCATAGTTGACCATGTAGAGGATATACCGTTCCATCCGGTCCATGGGGAACGGGATCTCATAGTGCGGACAATAGATGTCCAGATAGTCATTGATGCTCACTTCCACTGTGTAGTCCCCCTGATGGAACCTGCAGGGAGTGGAAAGGTGGGGGGGGGAGGAGGAATGAGAGCAAAATGCACATTGAGAAGCACAAACAGCAAAGTCCACCTGCCCTTTTTAGGATTAGGAACAGGGCTGAGACAAACCTCCGAAAACATTTGAGATTTGGTAAAGCAACCCAATTTGCCACTCAGATTTTAAACACAAAGACCGATTTCCCACAAGCCTCTGCTCCGCCCTTGCTCTTTCCTTTACCCCGATCGTATGTGTCAATTTCCCACTATTTGCTGTGCAGCTACATTTTGCCCTGCAGCTTCGCCCGATTTCCCCCACGTCTACTCGATCCTCAAAAAACAGGATTGAGTAGATAAGGGGGAAATTGGGCAAAACTGCGGGCAAAATGTGGCCATGCAGCAAATAGTGGGAAATTGACACATACGATCAGGGTATAGGGAAGAGCAAGGGCGGAGAAGCACTTGTGGGAAATCGGTCAAATTTTCAAAACTGTACTTTGCGGCAAACATGATATTATACTCAGGGTTTTTTTTTCTGAAAAGAGGTGCCGGATCTCTCAAGAGGGAAATGAAGTTTTCAGTCTGTATACTAAAAACTCAGTAACTTTTAAACATTTAAAAAATAATTTTGTCGAAGAGGTTCCGGAACTCTGTTCTGGCACGTTCCCCCAGAAAAAAAGCCCTGATTATACTTCAAAAAACAAAACCACACACACACCTCCAGTACTTGGGCATTGGCTTGGCACGATGAAATCTGATCAGATCACACACATACAAAATATTCATGATCATAAGAATCCCCCAAAAGGCAACAGTATTTGGTAAACTTGTGGCGAATTTTTGAGCATTCAGAGAGAATATCTGGGCGATGGTTATCATTCAAATTTGAGAAACAGTAAGAATGCTTTCAGAAGGAATTTGGGGGGGGGTGTTGTTTCAGTGCTAGTAAGGGGACTCATGGTGCTGGAGAAGAGAGTCCGTTGGACTGCAAGGAGAACAAATCAGTCAATCTTAAAGGAAATCAACCCTGACTGTTCCCTGGAAGGCCAGATACTGAAGCCGAAGCTCAAATACTTTGGCCACCACATGAGAAGGGAGCCCTCACTGGAGAAGACCCTGATGCTGGGAAAGACGGAAGGTCAAAGAAGAAGGGGACGGCAAAGGACGAGATGGTTAGACAGTGTTATCGAGGCAACGAACACGGAGTTGAGCAAACTCCAGAGGACAACAGGAGGGCCTGGCGTGAACTGGTCCATGGGGTCGCGAAGAGTCAGACTCGACTGTGTGACTAAACAACAACAATAACAACAAGGGGGACTCATGCCAGGCCACAGCTGTCCTATCTATATCTAGATATCAGTAGCCTGAACATGCGTAGAGTATCCCTGCTCTCTCACACCGCTGGAAAACCACAGAAAACTCCTTGTATTCTGGGCTTCCAGAAGACCATGAGATCTCTGGGCTGGGAAATTCCTGGAGATTTTGGGATGGAGCCTTGGGAGGGCGGGGGACCTCAGCAGGGTATAATGCCATGATAGACCCCTTCCTCCGGAGCTACCATTTTGTCTAGGGGAACTGCTCCCTGTAGTCTGGTGATCAGTTGTAATTCCGGGGGAACTCCAGGCGCCTCCTGGAGGATGGCAACCCTGGATTTGGGACATCTAATTGTAGAAATCTGTCCCTTCCTACTTTCTCTCCTGCACCAGGAGACCCAGTTTCTGGATCTCCCTCTTAACTCCCCTCCCTGACTTTTCCTCTCAATGCCAGGGATAGAACTCAGCCGTCTGAGTTCTCCCTTTTCAAGATACCAGGCCCAGTTCTCCCACCAGAGGTAAACGCTAGAAGTTGAGGCTCTTTACTGCAAAAAGAAAGCACACTAGATTGAAACCGTCGGCAGCCAAAACCCAGCGCGGCCTTCCCTCGACCACGTGACCGGCATAATCTTCCCTCTTCCCATTAACTTTATAAGATTAAATTGAGCACCTCTTAAAATTAATAAACTGGCAACAGTAGGTGATTAGTTGTTAGGGGGGAGCCATTCTTCAGCGACATATCATCTGCCCCCTCGGGTATTATATTCAGAGGCACACTCCAATCCTATAGCAATTTTTTACATTTGGGGGACAGATTATCCAAGAGATTAGGGGATTACCAAAACTACGAAGAGGGCACGGCGGTACTGGGGCTACACTCGGTGTGTACCAAAGTCCTTAAGACGCCGGAACCAATTGCTTTCTGAGCCCAACGGGTCCTGCGTCTGTCTGGCGGTCTGGAGATGACCTCAGACAGCTCCCCGTCGGAGTCTTTTGTCCTCATCCAGTCAGCCCCAACGGTCATGCTGGCCTTCCAAAGAACTGGATCCCTCCCCCCCAAGAGGTTTTGTTCCCACAGGGAGGCAACCACAGGACACCCCCCAACCTACCCACTGCAGGGGCCCCACGGCACTCCCCTTCTTCCCTCCCTTTGCTTGTCTTTCCCTCCCCCACCACCACTTGAAGGACTGAATGCATGACACTGCTCCTGAGTCTGGAGAAATGAAGGGCGACGGGTGACATGGCAGAGGGTTATAAAATTATGCCTGGGATAGAGAAGGCAGAGAAAGAAGTGCTTTTCTGCCTTTCTCACAATACAAGAACTCGTGGGCACTCAATGAAATTAATGAGCAGTGAGTTTAAAACAGATAAAAGGAAGACCTGCCTCACCCAAAGAGTCATGAACAAATGGAATTCACCGCCACAGAAAGTGGTCCGTCAGTGGCTATTAGCCACAAGGTATCGCCACTTCCGCACTGTCATTTGTGTTACTTGTTGCTTCAGGGTTCTCCCCCCTCCAATGTGTTTTGCTCTCTCTAATAGTCCCAGAGGGAGCAAAACACATGTGGAAAAGCCCCCCCCCCCAAGCAACAGGGGGGGAAAAGGGCAAAAATGACAGTGTGGAAGTGGCCAATCTGGCCCAGTGATGCTCGGTAATCTTGGTGGGTGTGTGTGGGGGGGGGACAATGGGAAGGCTTCTGGAATCCCTGGGTTTTGGCCACTGTGTGACACAGAGTGTTGAACTGGATGGGCCATTGGCCTGATCCAGCATAGCTTATTTTATGTTTTTATGCTCTATACTGAAACAGAAGACTGGTCCCTCTAGCTCTGCATGGTCTACTCCAGGGTTCTCCAACCTTGTTAAACCTGTCAGCGCTTTGGGAATTTAATGAAAGAGTAGCAGTACTACTACAAAATGGCTGCCAAGGAGGCAGGGCCACTCACAAAATGGCTGCCACAGGGTCAGGGCAAATCATGAGATGCTGGCAGGTTCCAAGACAACTGTCCTTCTGTGATGAAGGCAGCTGTTACTGAATCAAGGTTACCAAACTCCAGACGGGGTCTGGAGTTCTCCCAGAATTACAACTGACCTCCAGACTACAGAGGCAGTTTCCCGGGAGGAAAAGGGGTATGTGGACACATTGGTTTTGAGATGCCATGGCCACCTTGAGATGCCATGAAACACTCATACTTATTCATAACATAAAACAAAGGGCTTTTCATAACTTTGGTTTGATTTTCTTGTTGCCATATTTATGGAAGGGTGTTGTGGGAGGTTGTGATATTATAGAACAATTCCTGTGAAAAACAGGAGTCCAGTAGCCCCTCAAAGACGACGAAAATTTGTGAGTCACTACTCACAGCAGTGACTCACGGAATCTCCTCCCCTGCCACAAATTTTCGTCGTCTTTGAGGAGCTCCTGGACTTTTGCTCTTTTCTACCACTTCAGACAGACTAACTCAGCTACCCGTCTTGCGAAAAACAGATTCCCATTAATTCATTAGTAGACTTGGAATGTGCACTCTAGCAATTAATAAAGTCTCTCTGGGCATACACTAAGTATATTTCCTGTGATCACCAAGTTAGGTGCAGGGGGCTGGGGAAAACATATCCAAAGATTAGAAGGTAGGTCAGCCTGGCGGCCATTTTAAAACATCCGCGTTCGCATCAAGATTCGTCGGAGGCCACGACTGGTGCAGAATTCTGTGTGGCTGCATGGCTTCCATATCTTGAGCCCTGGTTTCTGCTGCAGTCTTTCCTGTTCCTTCCCACGCGTCCTGCACCCCAAGATGCATATGCGCAGCCAGGAGGGAAAGATGCTGTGGGCCTCCAAGAGAGGAAATGTATTCAGAATACATACATACATGCATAAGCCCAGCTAACAGATCTATATCTCCCCACGCACAGTTTCCCTGCCCGGCGGAAGACGTGGCCACATCTCCATTTAAATGGAGCTGGCTGTAGACAGCGCTTCCCACTGTGCCGAGAAGTGGCAATTGAGTGCGGTGGGGCGGGCGGGCTTCTCCCGGATCCTTGGCCCACCAACAAGAGTTGGGCGCACTGCTGTGTTTGTAATGCAACCACCGCAGGGGAAGGCGCGAACTAGTGTGGCTGAGTGGAGTCAGTCCGACTGCTGGCTGGATGTACCCTCGGCGGACTGGGGGAAGGGGAGAGGGTGACCGCCCTGATTCCGAGGGTTGCACGTGAGAAAACCTGCCCAGGTGTGCTGGCTGAACTGAGGGAGTCAACACCAACTCTGGTCCAAAGGCAACTCTGAGGTGTAGTGAGAGAAACGCCAGAGAGGTTTTGAGAAAAGCAAAAGGGGAGGGGACACATTATATATCTTTACTGGGAGCCACCGATTTTGACAGCACTGGCCATTTCTCGTGTGTGTGTGTGGGGGTGGCTGGATTACCCTCTCTGTTTCTATAGTCCTTCAAATCAACTATCCCGTTCATTTTCACATCAACCCTGCGAAGTAGTCAAGTACTGGTCCGTAATTGCCAACGAAGGGTTGAAATACTCTCTCTGTCACCTTCACAACGTCCCTCTGAAGCAGACCAGTAGAATTATCGCTCAGATACAGCAGTTTTAGGTTGAGAGGGAGGAAGAATACTGGTTTGCCCGCAGCCAGCTAGTGAATCTTTGAATCTGAACCGAGGAATTTCTAGCACCAATTACCCATTATAATAAAGCGTCT